GTCCAAAGGGCTCTAGTTAAGCTAACGTTAACTTCTGGAGCTTAGCTTCATTAACTTATCTGTAATCGCAGAGATAACAAAGGTTGGCAAACATTATGCTGAATGATTCAATGTAAATACTGTAGCACCAAACTAACAGAGAGACACTCTTGGTAAAGATGGTAAAAAAACATTATCCTTTTGTCATATTCTGAGCCAAAAACCTTAACTTCAGTGGCACTTTGATGCACCACAATTTGATTGTCTCAACTGATCAATTGTACTGTGACACCTGCCATAGCTCCGGTCACTAAATGTTGATATTTTGTCAGAGTGAGTGGAGGGGGGCGTGGCTTAGTCATAGGTCAATTGTCCATATTTCCAGACTGGCTGCAGTGACGCGTGTGTCTACAGTGTCCCGGACGCCATGTGTTAAATATTTGACACACTTTAAAGAAGATATGAGGAAGTCATTCATGGGGGCAGAAATAATAAGGTCACTTAAATAGTAGTCAGCTGCAGTTAGTGAAAGCACAAGTGCATCTTGTCCTAACTGAAAATTACCGTTTGACAGTGCTGAGCTAAAGCCATTGAAAAAAAAAGTGAATGGGCAAGATAGCTTTGAGATGCTTTGACTTGTTTAAAAAAAAATTCAGAGACTTTCCTGTCACCACCAAACTACTATTTTCCTTCTCTGTTGCATCGACCATACTTAATTATGTCTCTTGTTTAAACCAGTGGTCACTAGAAATGTAGAGAAAAGATGGCAAGGAAGCAAAAGAAAGAGATTTAAGCCTCATTTTCACCAAGCAGTACGGTACAGTTCAGTTCGGGACGCTTTTTTCTTTTTCCACTGTGAAAAGTTGTGGATGGTACCAATGGAAGCGTTCCATGCCGTCCCCATTTTTGGCCACAGCTCTGTTGGGGTACCTAACACACAGATCTGGTACTAAAAGGTGGAGCTGTGAACACTGCAGTCCACTCATTGGTCAATAGCTGACGGCCACTCTGCTCAGGGCTGAGTTATGGCTGGTTTTGAATCTCATGTGACCACTGTTCATACCTTGGAGAGTTTAATTAGTAGACTGTAACTCTTACAGCAGCTGGTGTCGGAGGAAAAAATAACTTAATTCACTGGGCCAAGTGAAATTTCAACTTGTAATGTTACTTAATGCATGAGTTGACAACGTGAATCAATCATCACACCTTGAATTTCACTGTGACAACTTTGACCATGTTGGATGATGCACACTACAAGTAATGAGTGGATCTTCAAGTGTTTATATGTATTAATTTCGACTGGGTTATGTGCATTGCCTATATTCTTATCCTCACAAAAAAGCGCTGTGGAGCTCTGTTCATGTGTACTGCGACAACACTAAACCTGACTGGACTGAATGCACAACCCCGCTATTTTTAAATATCCCACATAGAGAGAGAGACTCTCAGCCTGTTCTGTTTTGTTCTTAAAATGTCGGTGTGCAGCCTCTTTCTGTGGACGATAAATGAAGTGCAGACTTCCCTCTGTGTCGACAGTGAAGAGCCAGGAAATACAGTGAGTGCTGGACGGAGCAGTGAGTGACAACAACCCCGCCCACAGTTAAGAGTACTGTTTGCAGTGGAAACGCTAGTGTCTATGTATGTATGTCTGAAGGGTTACTGTTGGCTCCAAAGGTACCATACTGAAAGTGTTTGGTGGAAACATGGCTTAATTGTTCTCCAACTGTCTTCATCATTCTGAAACCATAACACAGCAAATGTTGAAGAGGACTTATTTTCACTCCTGGCACCTAAAAAGAGGCAAAAATTGTCTGACATCACTATTTTTAAGTTATTTTGCACAGGTAAGATAATAATTTGGTGTAAACAGCATCACTCAAATTGAATCCTATTTTATCATTTGAATCCATGTCATGATAATCTGAGCTGCTCTCGCTGCAAACAGGATCTCCAACAATGCTGAGTAAATGTTGTCTTCAATACTCTGATTGGAATATTAGGCCAACAAAATAACATGTACTCAATTTTTGTTTTCTGTAGGGAATAGCATAGTAGAATAAATAACATATTTTATCGGCATGATACAAAGTTGAAGGTATTTTAAGAACCTAAAAGATTCGGGGCCTTTGAGAAAACAACAGAAAAAAGCTGCTTCCATCAGTGGTGTATGGTAGTTAGCACGGGCGCCAGTGCAAGATTGTGCATCTTAACTTGCTACAACTTGACACTGGACAACATCAACATACACATCACCCAGCAATCATCAGCGCAAATCTGTATAATATCAAATGAAATAAAATATTTATTCAATTCAATATTGTTTATAGTTTGATCAAACTGCTGAACTGCTCCACAATGAGCTTCCTGGGGCAGGAGTAAGTAGAAAAGGCGTGGCATTATTGCAACAGAGCTGTGAATGCCTCTTGGGCATATTTTTCTGTGTTTTATGATCTACTTGAAACTCCTACTGTTTTTCTTTAATCAGTCCATGAGCCAAGCTTCAGCTTGCGGAAAACGACGGTGATGGTGTTGTTAATTTTGAGGAGTATGTCACTTTTGTAACAGCTCTCACTGTGATTTACAGTTAAAACACAAAACTTTCTTTTCTTATTTAATTAGTTCTAAATGAAAAACATTGTCCTAATATTACAGTCACATCTATAGAGTCAATGTCATTTTACTGATGTCATACGACAGGGAGTGCTGTTGTATTGAATATCGGCACAGCTGTGATTCGGTCCAGGCTGTTCTCACAAAGTTCTCCTATGAAAACTAATAATGCACCCAAACATACATATCTTACAGATTTTGAAATGCTGCAATCATGTGACCAATGCACCTATGGCAGTAATTAAGGAAGCAGTCCCAAGCGCTTGTAAGAAGGGAGGTTGGGGTTGTGGATGGGTTGCAAAAAAACAGACTCTCGCCCAGGACTTTTCCCTGGAGTTCGGATCCATGTGAACTTTAAGTCCTTTTAATGTATGTCCTCACCATGTTTTTTTTCCTAAACCTAACCACAGTAACTTTTATTGCCTAAAGCTAACCAATTCTACATTAATTACATAACTGTATGTTAAGGATGTAACATCACTTGTGGGGTGCAAATTCGTAGCATAACATACAACTGAGAATAATTGTTTGGTCATAGGCACATGGCCGCAGGGCAAGTGCCAAAGTTAATCACAGTAGAACTGATATTCAGTACAGAAGCACGACCTTGAGTGCTTTTATACAACAGTTCTACAAGTACCATTTGTAATTGCACAGTAAAAAGTGACAACAGAAGATGATTTGTTTTTTTATTTAACTGTCTATTTAGCACTACAAATACACTGCTCAAAAGAATTAAGGCAACTTAATCGTCACAGTGTAACACCAAGTCAGGGAAATTTCAAGGATATCAATCGGTCCATTTAGAAGGCACAAGTGATTGTGAATCAGTTTCATCTGCTTTTGTGCAAATCAAAGTGACAACAGTTGTAATGGAGAGGCAAAAGCAAGACAACCCCCAAAAAGGGAATTTGTATTCTGCTAGTGTCCTTGTCACTACAGGTAGCATGAGGCAGTACCTGCAGCCCAATCAGGTTGCATTGGTAGTCCAGCTCCTCCAGGATGGCTCATCCATACGTGACGTCACAAGAAGGTTGGCTGTGTCTCCCAGCACAGTCTCAAGAGCATGGAGGAGATACCAGGAGACCAGCCGTTACATGAGGAGAGCTGGACAGGGCCGTAGAGGGGCATCATCTCAGCAGCAGGAGGAAAAGGAGGAGCACTGCCAGAGCCCTACAAAATGACCTACAGCAGGCTACTGGTGTGAATGTTTCTGACCACACTGTCAGAAACAGACTCCATGGGGTGTTGGTGGCTTAGTGGATAGAGCAGGTGCCCCATGTACAAGGCTGTTGCTGCAGAAGCTTACTGATGTCCTGATCCAGGTCTGGGAGGAGATCCCCCAGGGCACCATCCACTGACTCATCAGGAGCATGCCCAGACATTGTCGGGAGTGTATATAGGCACACAGAGGCCCACACACTACTGATTCACAATATGAGTTTCAGTGATAAAATCCACACAAGTTGGATCAGCCTTAAATTTTCCTTTTTTTACTTTGATTTTCAGTGTGAAATCTAGCCCACAGTGGGTTGATGATTTTGGACCCCACTGACTGTCATTTTGTTCCCAATAAATTATACATGTACATCAGTAAAGATTTTCAACTTGAATACTTCATTTATCAAGATGTGATGTGTGATTTAAGTGTTCCCTTAATTTTTTTAACTGCGTAGTTCTGCAACTGGACTAGGGCAGGACTGTTGCCAAGCAACACAAACTTTCTGCCACACTAGCTTGCTACTTCTTGTCCTTTCCTTATGGCCATTAGTTAACTCAAATGTTATGCCAAAATATGTTCCTCTTTGCGGTGCAAAGTTTGTTACATTGGTCTGCCTTGGGCACAAAAAGTTTGAAAACCACTACTCTAAATTATTGTCAGGTACAGTTAATGAAAACACAAGTGCATGTTGTCATAAGCACTTTCCAGCTCTTATGACAATGTCAGTTTGGACTATCCTGGTTACTGCATGCAGTGCGTTATGAGACCTGGGATACACCCTGTAAAACCAGTGTTAATTTTACTTATAAAGGAAATTATTCTGAATGTGAGAGTCAATATTTGTAAGAATTTGTTTAAAGGCTGAGAAACAGAAAAAAAGATGTTCTTACAGGTTCTGGATACCCATGTGCATCTACATGACTTGATGTTCCTTTGATTGTCACTTAAATTACAAATTCTACCACTTGCCGCTTCTGCGGCCCCCCCCCCCCACACGTCGTGACAAATGCCGCCCTGGGCAAACAGCCATTCGGCCCATATCTGCTACTGCTTATATGCTAATATGACTTGTAGCTTTGCCACACTGGTATCACTGGTATGAGATGGGGCTTACGTCAAAGAGAAAGCATGAAAGTGTAATGTTGTCATTCTGACAATTTGTTAGTTTCCAGGAGAGAAGAAAGAAGGGAAGCACAAAGGGGAAAAAAATGACGTTAGAGGGGTGGGGGCTTAGAAAGAGGGTGTGTCAACCTCTACTATAAAGATTGTGTCCGTGATCTCTGCTCATATTCCTCTTTTCCACCATCTCAATTTCTTGACCTACTCAAGTTTTCATACAACTTTGGTAAGTGGAAACACGTTTGTATACCTCCCTGTATTGCATTCAACATTTTGCTTTTTATTTATCTACGTAACTGATTCCTGATATATGTGTGGCATTTTGTGGCATGAGATGCATGAGTGAGCTACTGGGTGTTTTTTGTGTAATGTGTTGAGTGCTGCATCTGAATAGGATTAGGAAAGGACAATGAAAAGCTGTTTTAAAAGATCTGCAGGCATGCAGTAGGCTGAGAAAACCAAGAGGAACTAAAAATCAGTGAGTTAGGACAGTGTATGTATGTACTGTATGTAGTGGCATTCAGAGGAAACAACCAGGGAAGGGAGTTGGCAAGCAGACTGTGCCACACCCGTACTTACTCGTCTCTTTTTTATAACCAGCGGGCACTAGAAATGTAGTAACTCTTGGGGACAGAGGAGATTATGAGCAAGCACTAGAGCAAGACTTAGAGGGAATGAAAATGTGAATTTCTTTCTTTTTTTTAAGAATCACTTCTTTTCATGAGTCAGATGAGGACGTGTGTTGGGCAGTAACTTTCCAGACCATAGCAAGCTGCTCATTTAACTCCTCCCAGTGTTTTTACTGGATGATCCAAAGCAGTGGAGTCCAGCCCGTGTGTGTAGCTTCTCTCATTTCCAAAGTGCAGCATTGCCAAAGCCACCTAAAATGAATGACTGACTGAACAAATACATAAACATTTAAATCAATAAACACCCGACTAAGGAGTCACCAATATTTTCTCATTCCAGCCAACATGTCAGAGCTCAGTGATGCAATGATGAAGCTCCAGAACGTCTTTGACAAGTATGCTGGACAAGACGGCGACAAAAAGACTTTGAGTAAGGCAGAACTCTCCAACCTGCTCCACAAAGAGTTTTCTGTGCCAAAGGTAAGTAGAAAAGGTGTAGCAGTATTACAACAGAAAACTATGAATGGATCTTGGACATTTTTATTTGTTTGTTTGTTTTACAGTCCAATTACATCTCTAACTGTGTTTTTTTTTTTTTTTTTTTTTTTTAAATTAAGGGCACGAAAAGCGCTGAGTTGGATACATTCTTCAGCGCGCTGGATAACGATAATGATGGTGTTGTTACTTTCCAGGAGTATGTCACTTTTGTTGCAGCTTTAGCTGCTATACAAAAAGAAATGTGTTAATGATTTGGTCACATTGCCTCAGAACTTTCTTGATCCAACTTGCCCCAAAATTTCAGAGACATCTATGAAATACACATTATTAAATGTTCTGATCAGGAAAACTTAGTTAACACACAGAGATGAATCATGGGTGCTGACTGGATGTGTTTCACTGATTCTGAATGTCAGAAATCATTAACAAAGAAACAAAAATAAACGTCACATTTTTTTGAATGTCTTGTGATTGTTCTTTTTATTCCACTTATTTATTTTACAACACAAGTTACTCTGCAGATTAATATTATTAATACAAATGTAATCAACAAAGAGATCCTGATGTTTTATTATGGATGAAGATAAAATTGAATAGATCCCTTGATGAAAATGACAAGGTACCCAGCTGTGTAAAATAAAAAAAATTAGCCACACCTTGCAGTTGCAAAATGAAAGTGATGTTTTCATTATGGTGTCAATAAGTAGAATTTGCTAATATAATGTATATTATTTTAAAATGGGCCATTCTGTGTAATAAGTGCCTTTACTTTTGGTACTTTATTTTTAAAGTGAAAGATTATTCTATTGCTGGCTAAGTGGATTTGGATTTGGGGGCCCTGCTCAAAGTAAGTTTTTGCCACTTCATATGGCACTACTCCAACATATGTATATTGTATAATGGTTAATGTAGTTATTATACACAACTAAGCATGGAAGAGACTGAAGTCGGACCGGTTCGGTAAAATTTATATCTTAATATTATGTTCATATTGGAGAGGGCTAAATCTCACCTGTCTCATGAGGGATATAATACAACCAAAATGATATGATGCACAAGGCAACCATATGGTAAAGAACATACATTTAACTCATTCAGGTCTATGAATACTGTCATCTGGCTCAACCAGCATGCACAGATCTATTTGATGGAATGTCTATGAGCCAATCACAGTGTTCCACATCATCAAAGGTGGACCACAGTAGAGCCATGGGGCGTTTCTCAACACTCAAGTTCAGCAGTTCGGACTTGTGGACTTGACAAGTTCTGACTTGGCAAGTCCGTGTGAGAGTCCGGACTTCCCAAGAACAGGAGGACTGGAGTACAGTTATTTCTGCTTTTGGAACAGCAGTGAACTTGATGATGTCACCACCTCCACTCACCTTGGCTGTTGTACTGTGCGTCATTGTAAGAAATTAATGTGTATATGTTTATAAGGTTTCAACATATATAACTGACATACAAAAACATAAATAACCAAAATATTTTCATAAAATGTCTTATCAGAAGTCCAAAAAAACACGCTCATCCCTCAGAAGTATGAATGGGTGCTGAATCCTCAGTGAAAAATGACAAAAATGTGTACAAAAAGTACAGGACAGCACTCCAATAATGATGTTTATTGCCACACGAACGGTTCGGGTGAAACCCTTCCTCAGCGTGCACAAGAAACAGAATCAATTCTGAATCAATTCTGTTAAATGTCTTATAAAACCTTTTCCCCGCACCTGGCAGAGAATGAATAATACACTTTCTGTCAAATTTAAAGATGATGGATGGTGACCTTTCACCTACTCCTGCCCCCCAGCCGCCCCACCCTCCCCACCCTCCTGAGTGCGGATGTGTGACATCATCATAAGGTTTTTCCTGCTCACTTACACCTCCCTTTTTGGAACCTTCTGTCAGCTAAGAGACCATGCGTGTGTGTGTTGAGATCCGTCAATATTATGCTATTAGATCTCAGCTAAACACCAATCATTGTTGAGATCCGCGGACCCCGCCACCCCCCTCTCCTAAGAAGCTACGTTGAGCAAATGTGTTTAAAAGAGGGCAAAAAGACTCGGGATTTTTATTCAAGAAAAAACAATAAACTAAGATAAAACAAACATGGCAAAGAGAGCGTTGGATGCCTCCGAGAATGCTGCGGCGAATGAAAAAGAAACGCCGGGAAGAGGAGGGAAAATGATGTACAATGATGAGAGAAACGTCATCTGCAGCACCATTTTGACGAGTTTTCATGAATCGTGGCCAGCTCCCCAGAAGCGTGTCAGGCATATCGGACGCATTCAGATGCCTCCGGCCTCCACTCTTATGCAGGAATGGAGTTTAGATGCCGGAGGTGCGTGGGGTTACAAGTTCAACTATAAAGCTAACGAAGTGTGTTTCTATCAGTTGGAGAAAGGGGAAACTTTTGGATCTCTTGTGGCCCAAGCAACACTCACCTCAGTAGACTGGAGTGTGTTAAATATGGTGGGATTGACTGATCTTAGAGCGCCCGAGACAAGAGACACGAGACAAGCAAATTCCTCACACAGCCTGAAAGAAAGCCTGCCGGGTACAGAGAAGTAGAAAATTGTGGCCAGCACCGTGTGGGAGACAAAAAGCTCGGCTTCAGGCAGATGGATCTATCGAGCCAGCCGTCAGGTGTCGCTGAAGGACAAACACGGACGAATTTGTTTTGGAGTATTTCAGTTCTGAATACGACTGGGGGCGGACTAGTTAAAAAACGACCGACGGACTCTGAAAAATCATGTCTCTCCCGCCTTCATCAGCTCCTTCAACACCAGAGGCCGACCTTATCAGGCCTTCACCAGCTCCTTCATCGCCTGAGGCCGGCCTTATCAGGCCTTCTTCTGCACCGCCGTCGCTGAGGCGTTGGGTCTCTCCTTCTCCGCCGCTGCAGCCGTCCCAGGGCTTTCCTCCTAGTCCTCCTCCATCGACTCCAACAACGCCCGATTCATCCGACAGCGATGGTTCTTCTTCACGGCCCGCTCCCGCCGCAGACATGCAAACTGGACCTCCTTGTAAAGGAATGCACGATGAAACGGACTCGGTGCTGTCTGCGGTATTTCTGAATACGGTGAGAGCCGTAGTGAGTAAACTGCTACTGTATGTTTTGGCCCGGTACAGAAAGGAAATCTGCAACGGGTGTCAAATCAACCATCCGAGTCAGTGTCAGCACGAATGTCTGGAAGAGACGCCGGACTATTTTTACGAGGTACACCACTCCCAGCTGATGGAAAGACTTTGGACGGGACGGTTTATCCCTACCATCCAACGAGCTCTTAACGCTCGCCGTCTCTGCGTGTCCGAGTACCGGGTCCAGGGCACTTGTGATTTCCTGCTGCATGACTTTAAGACGATGAGACGCACCGAACACTCAATTGCCAAGATTTACAACACGATGACCGAAGGAGACGAGGAAAAGATTGAAATCGTAGACCAAGCTCTGGAGTTTTGGCTTATAGAGTGAAAATGGGTCACTACTGAACTAAACTCGTAATTTCGTCATTTGTCATTTAATCTGTGTTTTGGATCAGGTTATTAAAAACAAAATGACTGTAAATCACGCGGGTTTGAACAGGGACGTTAAAGTAACTCAATTGGAATGCATGTTGGATATAGTTAGGTCCCAATCTGTACATACACCCTGGGATGTGTTGGTACGGTCCACATTGCAACTTGTAAAAGACGGTTCGGTGGCCGATGCATTCTACAAAATCATTAAAGAGATGAATGCCTCAAACATAAGCCATTTGGTTACTCTGTACGCTTTGTTTGTAGACGCAGTGTGTTGTCTCGTACCTGTGGACACCTTGACAGAATTGAGAAGGTTGCAATATTATATTCGCATTATCCACGGGACCTCTGCCATGAATTTGCTCTCGTCTGCTTTAGCCTAATGCTATGTTGTTGTTTGTAAGCGTGTATAGCTCATTTATCTTAAATGTTTGAATCATGTATACCTCGTATTACTTAAATGTTTGAATCATGTATACCTCGTATAACTTAAATGTGTGAATCATGTATGGCTCGTATCTTAAATGTTTGAATCATGTATATAGCTCATATATCTTAAATGTTTGAATCATGTATACCTCGTATATCTTAAATGTTTCAATCATGTATATAGCTCATATAACTTAAATGTTTGAATCATGTATACCTCGTGTTACTTAAATGTGTGAATCATGTTTACCTCATATTACTTAAATGTTTGAATCATGTACACCTCGTATTACTTAAATGTTTGAAGCATGTATACCTCGTATAACTTAAATGTGTGAATCATGTATACCTCGTATATCTTAAATGTTTGAATCATGTATATAGCTCCTATAACTTAAATGTTTGAATCATGTATACCTCGTATTACTTAAATGTGTGAATCATGTATACCTCATATTACTTAAATGTTTGAATCATGTATACCTCGTATAACTTGCGATTGTTTTAAAATAAATGTTTTGGTAAGCGAGCGGTTGTGTTCATTATTGATTCAACATGTCGGAGAAATGTGTCATGAAAAAGGTTTATTATGACCCGTCTCACCCGGGTAGTTTAGGAGGAGTCGAACGACTCCGCAGGGCCGTACAAGATGAGACGGGGAAAAGAGTAAACCCTGACCGAGTCAGAGAATTTTTAGCCGAGCAAGACGCATACACTCTGCATAAACCTGCCAGAATACATTTTCCCAGAAATAGGGTTTTTGTACCGCGACCTCTGAACCAATTTCAAGCGGACCTCTGTGACATGCAAGCCTTGACCGAGCACAACGACGGTTTTAAATATCTGTTGACGGTCATCGATGTGTTTTCAAAGAAAGCATACGTGCGAGCGCTAAAAAACAAAACGGTGTCCGAAGTCACTAGGGCGTTTGACTCTGTTTTAGACGACAGTCAGACCCCTGAAAAGTTACAAACGGATGCGGGTAAAGAATTCTTTGACAGGACTTTTAAGGCGCTGATGGATAAATGCGGTATTAAACATTTCGCCACGGCCAGTGATCTGAAGGCCTCGGTGATTGAGAGATTTAACCGTATGTTGAAAACTAGAATGTGGAGATATTTTACAGCCAAAAACACCCGCAGGTACGTAGACGTCCTGCAGGACTTGGATAAAAGCTATAATAACGGCTATCACACGAGTATAAAAATGACGCCTATGCAAGTGACGTCCGAGAACACCCTGCTTTTTCAAGTTTCAAGTTTTTCAAAACCTGTACGGCTCGATCCCCCTGAGCTTCCAAGAAAAGTTAAAGATGAATTTTAAACAGGGAGATCTCGTGAGAATATCTAAAGTGAGAGGCGTGTTTGATAAGAAATACGAGCAGAGTTATACTGACAAGGTGTTTACGGTGGCCGAGTGCGTACCCCGAGTACCCCCCGTGTACAAACTGAAAGACTATGACGGAGAACCTATCCGGGGTACATTTTACGAAGCGGAGCTGCAAAAAGTAAAG